GCCCCCCCCCCAACCCCCCCCCCCCCCGTTTGCGGGGTGAGCAGGCTACCCTTGGCCCAAGCTGTCTGCCTAGCCAAGCAAGGAAATGTGCTCTAGCGGTTCCCAGCTTCTGGCCTCAGCCACTGCAGGCATGTGGCTACATTTCTGGAATCAGAAGTGAATGACTGTACACTTGTTTATCAGCTCAATCTATGCAGTTTAGACTAATCTACAAAGGTTGAATCAATGCAGCCTCGGGCTTTTTTACTGTCTGTAGCTAGCCCTAGATACAGTAGATTTCCTTGGGATGAAATCTGGGACTGTGAGGACCAAAACTAATGGTCTTGCCACTTGAACTGAAGAGCAGTTTCTTTAGCTTTGCAGATGTATCAGACTGCACAGCCAGTGGAATCAGGCAATAGAAGGAGAATGATTTGAATCACAAGCATGAAGTATGAACAGGGCTATTGCACAGATCAAGGAAAGACTGATTTGTTTTCCATGACAGAAATGCCAGCAGTGGCTCTGTGCTCTACTCCAGTTCCATTTCAGCTCTAGAAACTGAACTTAGACCACTGCTGATTTCACGTTGACAACCGAGCAGCCATGCAATAGAAAAGGTATTTCACCACCAGTGCTCTCTCAAGATCATATAAGTGACTCCCTTTTGCTCTTTCCCAGTAATAGCTTCCAAATCAAAACCATCTGATATTATTATCCCCATTTTACAAATGGGGAAATTGAGCCCTTGGGTGGTGAAGTGATTTATCTATGTCACTCAGCAGGCCAGAAGCAGGCACAGACGTGTGATCGCCAGTGTCAGAATACACTGTGCTATCTGCTAGCCTCATGCTGCATGCCACATGCTTTTACTGAAACTGCAAAGAATATGAGTTAGAATGCACTGTGCTTAGAGCAGGTATGGCATGTCATTAAAAACCACAGGGTACACTGTACTTAATAAACTGGAGAATCAGAAAATGAAATTTGAGGATAATTGTATTTTGAAGCAATGTCCTTGTCCTACATTGATTAAAGGAATTTACCATGTATGCAGGGAAAAACCTTCTCAAATGGAAAGCTCATAAACAGCATCTGTTGCAATTTTAATGTAATATAGGCTCAGTTCACTCTGTAATTGAAAACTTACCCAGCAAAGTGGGACCAGCAACTTAGTCAACTTTTCTATTTCTGAGTCTCACAAATGCTTTAACACTTGCTTATCCTCTAATAAATTTACTAAAATACAGAGGTTATGTTTAGTGCTGTGTGTATGTGTATTATACCAATAGTTCCCAACCTTCTTAGATTCAAGGCATCCCTCCATAACTTTTATGAAAGCAGCACCCCATTTCAAAATCATGTGCATATATTACAGTGGTTACTTCCTCACACCTTGTGGCACCCTTAAAAGGATCTCATAGTACCCAGGGTGCTGCATTACCTGTATTAAGACTTGCTGATCTTTCCCAAATTTTGCAAAAGAATAAAATGTGTGAGGAATTTCTTGCTACTGCACCATTTGACACTTGAATGCACTAAAAAGACTCCCAAAAACTACTCTTGCTGGTAAAAATGGGGCCCAGATGGGCTCAGCCCTCTCACAAAAATCTTTGGGATGTACAGTTATGCTAATGAGAACCTCCCAACCCTGGGGACACAAGGAGCAGGTAGCACATTGCACCCCCACCTCCCACCATGTGGCTTAGGTGGTCTGCACCTGAGGGAACAAGTATGGCCATCACAGTTGTAGTCATTCCTCCAGGGACTTGCATGCTGGAGACTAGAGCCCAGAGCCACCTGCCCCTGCAACCACTCCCGCCAGTCCTGGAAGCATGGGAGGAGCTGAGGTTCAACCCAGGCTGAAAAGCACAATCCCACAGCCCCACACTGGTTAACCCATCCATGGCTGAGCAAGCTGCTTGGAACATGCAGGTGACCAGCATACGAGCTGCTGGGGGGTGGGAAGCAGCCACAAGCATTGCTTATCCATGGGGCACTAAGATGCCTGGGGCTAGGCAGGAGGAGGAGCAGATGCTTAACTCCTTGAAGGGGGGCTGGGTGCCATGGCACCCTTAACATGATCTTGCAGCACCCCAAGGTGTTGCAACATCCCAGTTGAGAAACCCTATGTTATACACAGGTTTGCTTTATGTCCTGTCTCCTAATTACTGGCCCCAGCCTATAACTTACCCATAATGGGCGCATCTAGCCAAGCATGCATATGCAGGTGTGTGCGTTTGCTGAGGCATAAATAGCAGTGGCACATATTTGTACTGCTGCTTTGTGCCCAAGGCCATGCCCCTGTATGTATGCTCCAGCAAATGCCAAATTGTCCTGGGCAGGGTAGGGGAGGCTGGACCAGCACCTGTGCTGGCCCCAGCAGCCTTATCTAGGGTCCTGGGGGCCTGTTGGGGCAGCAGTGAGGCTAACCTGGCTGCTTGGAGCCTGGTCAGCAGCTGGTGTGGCTCTGAATGGCCAGGCTCCATTTTTGGAGGTGCATGCTGATGCCACATGTACCACACTGCTTTTATTTGATGCGGCTTTTTTTTACAGCAGTATCTCCTGGTGTCAAATGTTGCCTCCAGGCTGCAAATTAGCAGTGCAGTGAACAGGTGCACATGTGCCATGTGTGATTTGCAGTGCCTCAAACAGCTTTGAGGCACCATAAAACACACATGTGCACTCATCTGGATTCACCCAATAATTCTTCTTTAGCTCAGTTAATAAAGGACAATGCTTTTGGTGCCAAAAGTCCAGAATTCAGTTCCTACTCATAACTATACTTCTAATTATTGCTAATATGATGGTACCCAGCAGTGCAGGAACACAGCTGAGCATCCAGGACACAGCAGAAGTGGTGACTTCTGGTTGCTGCCACAATTGTGAATGCAAACACATGGCTGTCAGCAGGAACTGCTTTTTTTTTT